CCCCAAAACCCCAAAACCCCACACTCGTTTTAATAGTATTGAATAATGTGGCTGAATAATATTGAAAAATAGACATTTTATCTTAATTAGTATATTTTAATTAAAACATTAGTCGATCTTTACTCTTTGATCTGTCATTAAGCATTTTCATTAATTGAAGGTAATCATGATCATCATTATTAATTAGAGTCCAAAAGAGAAGGTTTCTTGAAGCCGTCATTCGATCCGTGATTTGATTTATAGAATGGCTAACTATCCTTGTAGCCCGAGCTACCGTAGTTGTTGCTCTAGCCACCGGCTCCACCATTATTATATCCACCACTGTAGCCTTTATTAAAGCCGCCACTGCCATGGTTGTTATATCCATTGCTCTAGTAGTTTTGATTTCCGCCGTAATAGCCGGAGTTAGAATTATAGCTGGCAGCGTTAGTGCTGGTACTGGACATCATAGTATTTACTAAGGCAGAGGCATCAAATACCTTTGGAGCTCCTCCTGCATAAGCCTTATTTAGCTTACTTTAATCATTATAGGAGTGTTGGAAATCGCCATTTGGAGCAGTGCTTGGCTTACCGTCATTTCTGTTCCATGTCGAATTAGTGAAAGCAGCTTATTAAGTTTAAGCTGGTTAAGTATATCCAGAGTTGCCTCCTTGATAGCTCTGATAATTATTGTTATAGTTGTTTTACTTGAATCCTCCTCCACTACTGAAATTATTCTTATAGCCACCTTCGCTTTGATAATTTGAATTGCCAGTGAATTTTCCAGCTCTATCTGTTTTCCTCCATTGTCTATATTGACCCTCTATATATGTATTAATAATTAGGATAACTTACTCTGATCTTTATTTTTTCTGGCCATATCTGCCATTTCATATAGACTATCTGGAATCTCTTGTTGAGCCTCTTTTAGTAGCTTTATCAACTCTTTTGAAATCATGACGTTATTCCTTGTGAACAATCCATATGCAATACCGGTTGTACCAGCTCTTGCAGTTCTACCGATTCTGTGAACATAGTCTTCGATTTGCTTTGGCATATCATAATTTATAACGTATTTGATGTCTTTTACGTCTAGTCCTCTAGATGCGACATCTGTAGCAACTAGAATATAAGTTCTTCCGGTCTTGAACTCCTTGATCACGTAATCTCTTTCATATTAGGTCTTGTCTCCATGGATTCCCTTAACACCATGAAGGCCGTCATATCTCATTTGCTTGGTCAGCTCGTCAACTCCTTTCTTAGTCTCACAGAACACCAAAATCTTTGAACCGTCATTGACTTTTTTAAGATAAGCCTTAAATCTAATTTCATATGTTAACCAAGAAATATTTACTTTGTGTATTTTTCAGACTCATCTACGATATCAATGATCTAGTCAATTCTGTTATTAGCAGTGATACCTGGGTTTCCGATTTAAATCTGGACTGGTTGAACGTTGCAATATGATCTAGCAAGATCTTGCACTTCCTTAGGCCATGTAGCACTCCACATGAGAGTTTAACGGTCAGGCCTCACATAACTCAATATTTTTTAAATATGCTTTTCAAAACCCATGTCCTATATTAGATATGAAATTAATATCGTCCTCGAGAATGATGAAAATGACGAAACAATACTCTCGACTGATCTAGGAGAGTTTGCAACAAAAATTAATTTTACTTACAAGCATTCTATCTGCCTCATCTAACACTAGGTAAGTCACTTTATTCAGTCTCACTGTGCCTGTTTCCATGAAATCAAGGAGTCTACCGGGAGTGGCAATCAATATTTCAATGCCGCCCTTAAGTGCCATTCTCTGGGTGTCTTTAGGGACTCCTCCGTAGATAGCAAGTGACTGAATTTTACAAGGTTGGGTGAACTTTCTGCACTGTGTGTCAATTTGCATGGCCAATTCTCTTGTTGGCGCTAAAACAAGAGCTATAGGACCATCGCCTCTCTGAGTAAAAATATATTATGAATTTGCATACCTTTGGTACTTCCTAGGCGTAAACATGCACGATCGCGGGCAACAAAAAGGAAAGAGTTTTTCCGGATCCTGTCTCTGCGATACCAATCATATCTCTTCCTGACAAAGCTACGGGCCATCCTTAGCTCTGAATGGGGGTAGGCTTTTCAAAGTTTTCTAGTGTGACAAGAGTTTCCATAATATATTTAGGGAAATTTGCCTCTTTGAAGCTATTTACTGGTCTAGGCACATTAGTACCCTTGACTGTAATTCTAGCATCATCTAATACCTTTTAGGTTTCAATTTATGATCTGGCATTTACATCTTCATGCTCCTATTATGGGTTTAGACTTAAACTGAATTTAATACCTGATAGAAATTTTTCTCGAAAGGTTTTAGTTCTTATTTACTCCAATCAATAGTTGGTAATTTGTCTCCAAGGTTATCGTAATTATTTTGCATAATTTAAATTATATACTATAATAAATACTATTTCGCCCTATTTATATCTAATTAGACTACTCGGGGTTTTGGGGTTTTGGGG